ATTTGCGTGGTTTTGCAAAATTCACTTGAACATGACGCAGCTTTTTTCAAAGTTTCTCAAGAACCATTCGAGCCACATAATTCGTTTTGGCATCGTTGGATAGAGAATTAAATGGGGGGGGGTCATGACCCCCATGGCCCCCTGGATCCGCCCTTGGTTCAATCCGGTGATCTTGGAGGCCATTCAATTGGTCCCCTTCTGCCAATCGATCTATCCGGCAATATCTTATCAATGTTAGGGAGGGTTCAATAATAGACTTCATTATTGTTTACAGGAAAATAGACAAAATTTTGACCAACTTATAAGATAGTGCGTAAGTAGCTCCCCTGGGTTTTATTGTAGAAATGGTAGAAAAAATAAAAATGTAGAAATAGACTTGCGGGGTTTTACTTGGCACCTCATCCTTTACCATTCAAGACATCAAAGTTAAATTTCGAATTTTTCTATGGCACATTTATGCTGTTTTTTACCCAGGCCCCGGACAGTTTTGACAATGCAAAGGGGCCCGTAGACCAAAATAATTTGGGTCCACTGCACTAGAAAGAGTATTCCTGGATCAGTAATAACGAAGTTTGCAAAGGATTAAATATGCAAGTACATTTAACGATTGTGAGCGCTTTTGCGAAGCTCGACGTTATTACTTTTTCGGGCGGCATCGGCCCCTCGTGAAAGCCGACAAGGGTGTCTTTGGGGACGCTTGCGCCCTTCTGATTGCGACGCCGCGTCAGCTGGTTTGCCGCCCAGTCTGCAAGGCGTCCCCGCGCCAATACCGACGCCCGAGACGCTGCCTGACTGCCATGGCAGTCACAGAGCGTCAAATGTAATGTATTCGTTGCAACACTGCGTAAACCTTTCCAGACGGGCCTGCAGGTACTTCGTTATAGTGTTATGCCTTGGGTTCCTGGTTTGCGGCAAAGCGGTACCACCTGATCATGCTTCGGAAGACTCGGCCGCACGTCCCCCTCCGGAGGGATTCGACACGCGCGCCTACAATCGGGCCTACGACATTAATAGCTTGGCGAGAGGCAACTTGATACCCACAACTTCGGCAAAGAATCCGGTGAAGAATGACGTGCCCACCAATGCCCCGGTCAGCTCGGAGGAACCTACCAGCGAGGTTCCGAAAAAGAAGCCGGTGGAGAGRTACCCCGTGATATCGGTGTCGTTCCATCGAGTTGAGACCCCCTTCATTATTGGACTATGGATTTTTTGTGCCAGTCTAGCCAAAATTGGTAAGCGACTCATTATCTCAATATTGTTATCTATTGCTCATCGAATGGACTGCTTGCACGGTCTTTTCCAATCACTTTAGTCGAGTGGTTTTGCCCCCCTTTTTTTAATTTGTTCTTTAGCCTCCGTGACTTGATGTTTTTAACAGGCGTAGCCATTCAAGGCTTTTTGTCTTTACTGCAAGCCTGCAAGAGCCTTGGTGGGTTAGGGGTGTGGGTTTCGGGAGTTTGTGGGACTAAGAGCGAATAGTAGTAGTATGAAACGAACGAAAGAAAAGAAAAAAAAGTAAGAGAACGAGACGAGAAAAGTAGTGGTTTGTGGCGGTGGTTTTGGAAGAGTTTGAGAGTTTAGGTCCTTTCCAGGAGATTTGAGGTGTCGGGAATCACCTGCGTAAGGCCCGGTGATTCCAGGGGGGTCTGCCATTAGACTTGTCGGGGTTAAGTAGCGTTGGTTCGGGATAGTTTGGGAAAACGTGTCTTTAATTAGTGGGTTTGGGTGGTTAAGGACGCGAGTTTTGAACTTTTCGTGGAGCTTTGAGACGAATTGTTGCACGGTTTCGATTTGAAGGTT